CTCAGCTCTGTCTGCAGCGCCAGCTGGAGGACTGGGGGTCAGCACCCCAAAACCCACCCCAAACCACCCCAAACCACCCAGAGCCATTCTGAGCCACAGGAATGCCAAAAAACCCCAAATTGTGCCCCAAATCCCGGTGAAACTCCAGTTCAACTACAGTTCAGTCCCGGTTAAACCCCAGCTCAATCCCAGTTCAACCCCATTCAATCCCAGTTTATCACCAGTTCAAGACCAATTCAATCCCAGCTCAACCCCAACTTAATCCCAGTTAAACTCCAGCTCAATCCCAGTTAAACTCCAGTTCAATCCCAGTTCAATCCCAGCTCAGTCCCAGTTCAACCCCAGTTCAACCCCATTCAATCCCAGTTTATCACCAGTTCAATCCCAGCTCAACCCCAGTTAAACACCAACTTAATCCTAGTTAAACTCCAGCTCAATCCCAGTTAAACTCCAGTTCAACTCCAGCTCAATCCCAGCTCAATCCCAGTTAAACTGCAGTTCAATCTCAATTCAGTCCCAGTTCAACTCCAGCTCAATCCCAGTTCCTGGACTGGAGTCTCTCCCAGTGCTCCCAGTTCCTTTCCCAGTGCCACGTCCTGACTCCCAGTGCTCCCAGTGCTCCCAGTCCCTCCCAGTCTCTCCCAGTCCATCCCCCAGTCTCCCCCTGAGGGCGGGGATATCCTCCACGCGCACCACGAACTCGTCCCTCTCCCTGAAGCTGCCCTCTCCCCTCTCCCCCAGTCCCTCCCAGTCTCTCCCAGTCCATCCCCCAGTCTCCCCCTGAGGGCGGGGATATCCTCCACGCGCACCACGAACTCGTCCCTCTCCCTGAAGCTGCCCTCTCCCCTCTCCCCCAGTCCCTCCCAGTCTCTCCCAGTCCATCCCCCAGTCTCCCCCTGAGGGCGGGGATATCCTCCACGCGCACCACGAACTCGTCCCTCTCCCTGAAGCTGCCCTCTCCCCTCTCCCCCAGTCCCTCCCAGTCTCTCCCAGTCCATCCCCCAGTCTCCCCCTGAGGGCGGGGATATCCTCCACGCGCACCACGAACTCGTCCCTCTCCCTGAAGCTGCCCTCTCCCCTCTCCCCCAGTCCCTCCCAGTCTCTCCCAGTCCATCCCCCAGTCTCCCCCTGAGGGCGGGGATATCCTCCACGCGCACCACGAACTCGTCCCTCTCCCTGAAGCTGCCCTCTCCCCTCTCCCCCAGTCCCTCCCAGTCTCTCCCAGTCCATCCCCCAGTCTCCCCCTGAGGGCGGGGATATCCTCCACGCGCACCACGAACTCGTCCCTCTCCCTGAAGATGCCCTCTCCCCCGCTCTCCTCCTCGTCGCTGGTGTCCCCGCACACGGCCGCCGTGCCCTGCTTCTGCGCCAGGTGCAGCGGCCGCGCGTCCGGGGGCTCGGGGGGCTCCGGGGACCCCCGCGGGGGGCTCGGGGACCCCCCGGGAGCCGCCCTGCCCCCGCCCGGCCCCGGCGGGGGGCTCGGTGGAAGGGCAACGGCAGGTCCTGGGAGGGTAACGGCAGGTCCTGGAAGGGTAATGGGGACACCTGGCAGGTCCTGGAAGGGCAATGGCAGGTCATGGGAGGGTAATGGGGACACCTGGCAGGTCCTGGGAGGGTAACGGCAGGTCCTGGGAGGGGAACAGGGAGACCAGCAGGGCCTGGAAGGGGAACGGGGACACCTGACAGGTCCTGGAAGGGTAATGGGGAACCCTGACAGGTCCTGGGAGGGTAACGGGGAGACCTGACAGGTCCTGGAAGGGTAACGGCAGGTCCTGGAAGGGTAACGGGGAGACCAGCAGGTCCTGGGAGGGTAACGGGGACACCTGGCAGGTCCTGGGAGGGTAATGGGGACACCTGGCAGGTCCTGGGAGGGTAACGGCAGGTCCTGGGAGGGTAACAGGGAGACCAGCAGGTCCTGGAAGGGTAACGGGGACACCTGACAGGTCCTGGAAGGGTAATGGGGAACCCTGACAGGTCCTGGGAGGGTAACGGGGAGACCAGCAGGTCCTGGGAGGGTAACAGCAGGTCCTGGAAGGGTAACGGGGAGCCCTGGCAGGTCCTGGAAGGGTAACGGGGAGACCTGGCAGGTCCTGGAAGGGCAATGGCAGGTCCTGGAAGGTCCTGGAAGGGTAACGGGGACACCTGGCAGGTCCTGGAAGGATCCCGTGAACCCCCAGAAGGTCCTGGTAGGTCCCTATGAAGGTCTGGAAGGTCCTGGAAGATCCCCATGATCCCTGGCAAGTCCCTACGAACCCATGACAGGCCCTGGAAGGTCACCATGAACCCCTGGCAGGTCCTGAAAGGTTCCTGGGAACCCCTGGAAAGTCTCTATGAACCCCTGGCAGGTCCTGGAAGGTCTCTATGAACCCCTGGAAAGTCTCTATGAAGCTCAGGCAGGTCCTGGCAGGTCCCTATGAAGCCCTGGAAGGTCACCATGAACTCATGGCAGGTCCTGGAAGATCCTCATGAACTCCTGGAAGATCCTCATGAACCCCTGGCAGGTCCTGGAAGGTCCTCATGAACTCCTGGAAGGTCCTCATGAACCCCTGGCAGGTCCTGGAAGGTCACCATGAGTCCCTGCCAGGACCCTATGACCCCCAGAAGGTCCTGGCAGGTCCCTATGAACCTCTGGAAGATCTCTACAAGCCCCTGGCAGGTCCTGGAAGGTCTCTATGAACCCCTGGAAGGTCCCTGTGCACACCTGGAGGCTCTCCATAGGTCCTGGCAGGTCCCTACATTTCCCTGGAGGCTCTCTAGGGGTCCTGGAAGGTCCCTATGAACCCACGGCAGGTCCTGGAAGGTCCCTATGAACCCACGGCAGGTCCTGGAAGGTCCCTAGGAACTCCTAGAAGGTCCTGGAAGGTCCCTATGAGCCCCTGGAAGGCCCTGGAAGGTCTCTATGAATGCCTGGAAGGTCTCTACAAACCCCTGGAAGGTCCTGGAAGGTCTCTGTGAACTCCTGGAAGGTCCTGGAAGGTCTCTGTGAATCCCTGGCAGGTCCCTGTGCCCCCCTAGCAGCTCCCCCAGGTCCTGGCAGCTCGGTATCTCTCACCTTGCGCCTCGCGGGGCTCGTCCAGGGCGGAGCTGCTCCTCTGCAGGTCCTGGCAGGTCCATAATAAACCCCTGGAGGACCTCTATGGGTCCTAGAAGGTTCATATGAACCCCTGGGAGGTCCCTATGCACCCCTGGCAGGTCCTGGAAGGTCCCTATAAACCCCTGGAAGGTCTCTACAAGCCCCTGGCAGGTCCTGGCAGCTCCCTAGGAACCCCTGGGGGATCTCTATGACTCCCTAGGAGCCCCTGGCAGGTCCTGGCAGCTCCCTAGGAACCCCTGGGGGATCTCTATGACTCCCTAGGAACCCCTAGCAGGTCCTGGCAGCTCCGTAAGAATGCCAGAAGGCTCTCTATGGGTCCTGGAAGGTTTCTATGAACCCCTGGACACTCTCTGTGGGTCCTGGAAGGTCCCTATAAACCCCTGGAAGGTCCTGGAAGGTCCGTATAAACCCCTGGAAGGTCTCTATGGATCCTGGAAGGTCCCTATGCACCCCTGGCAGGTCCTGGAAGGTCCCTATAAACCCCTGGAAGGTCTCTAAAAGGCCCTGTCAGGTCCTGTCAGGTGTGTATCTCTCACCTGGCACCTCGGGGGGCTCCCTGCGCTCGGGGGGCTCGTCCAGGGCCGAGCTGATGCTCTTCTGCAGGTCTTGGCAGCTCCATAAAAACCCCTGGGGGATCTCTATGACTCCCTAGGAACCCCTAGCAGGTCCTGGCAGCTCCGTAAGAATGCCAGAAGGCTCTCTATGGGTCCTGGAAGGTTTCTATGAACCCCTGGACACTCTCTGTGGGTCCTGGAAGGTCCCTATAAACCCCTGGAAGGTCCTGGAAGGTCCGTATAAACCCCTGGAAGGTCTCTATGGATCCTGGAAGGTCCCTATGCACCCCTGGCAGGTCCTGGAAGGTCCCTATAAACCCCTGGAAGGTCTCTAAAAGCCCCTGGCAGGTCCCTATGCACCCCTGGCAGGTCCTGGAAGGTCCCTATAAACCCCTGGAAGGTCTCTAAAAGGCCCTGTCAGGTCCTGTCAGGTGTGTATCTCTCACCTGGCACCTCGGGGGGCTCCCTGCGCTCGGGGGGCTCGTCCAGGGCCGAGCTGATGCTCTTCTGCAGGTCTTGGCAGCTCCATAAAAACCCCTGGGGGATCTCTATGACCTCCTAGGAACCCCTGGCAGGTCCTGGAAGGTGTCTATGCACCCCTGGCAGGTCCTGGAAGGTCCCTATAAACCCCTGGAAGGTCTCTAAAAGCCCCTGGCAGGTCCCTATGCACCCCAGTCAGGTCCTGTCAGGTGTGTATCTCTCACCTGGTGCCTCGGGGGGCTCCCTGCGCTCGGGGGGCTCGTCCAGGGCGGAGATGGCCGAGCTGATGCTCTTCTGCAGGTCCTGGTTCTTGCTGACCGAGTCCTCCTCGTCGCTGGAGAACGAGGGCAGCGTCTCCAGGTTCCTCTTGAGCTCCTCGTCCAGGCGCTTGCAGGGCGAAGGACACGCCATCACCAGCCCCTCGCCCTCGCCCCCCTCCAGGGACCCCCCCAGGGGGAAGTTCTGGGGCGCCCCCAGCTTGGGGGGCTTGGAGGGGCTGGGGGGCAGCGGCTGCCGCTTGCCGGCCTTCAGGAAGTCCAGGAAGGAGGCCATGAAGCCCGACTTCATCTCGGGCTGCTTCTCCTCCGCCTCGCGCAGCTTCTGCTTGGCGCGGCTCGGCGACGGCTCGGCGGGGGGCTCCGGGACCCCCGGGAACGGGCCGGGGGCGCTGCAGGGCGGAGGGGGGGGGTCCGCCTTGGAGACGGCCAGCTTGATCTGCGGGAGAGAAAGGGGAGCTGGTTTGGACTGGGTTATACTGGTTTGGACTGGTTTGTACTGGGACACCCTGATCCATCCCTGACCCCTAACAGAAACAGCCAGCTTGATCTGTGGGGAGAGAAAGGGGAACTGGTTTGTACTGGTTTGTACTGGTTTGTAATGGGTTATACTGGGTTGGACTGGGAGACCCTGGTCCATCCCTGACCCCTAACAGACACAGCCAGCTTGATCTGCGGGAGAGAAAGGGGAACTGG